TCTGAAAATGTTTCTTTTGCCAGCTTTGCTGCTGATTGATTTAAAGATGGGGTTTTTCGGGGTTTATTTTATTTGCTTTGCCAAATGATCGATATTATTAAAACTCCTTTAACGAATGAATGATCAAAGTAATTTAGAACACATTTGTATTTTTTTGCCAAATTGAGGCATCAACTGGCAAGAATTCCGGGTTTCAAAATTTGCTCTTTCAATTGAGCAGCAGTTCACTTCACAACATCAGTTTTCAATGGCTACAAGGTCGCTTAGATCTTAAATCGTCACAACCATTAATAAATGGCCTTTAAAATGAATCTAAAAAAAGTTGAAAAAAGTCATCAAACATTTTCGCAGCAACGGAACTGAGTTACTGCGTCGGTGCGTTGGGTTGGCGCACCCAGCCATTTGCGCTGCACTGCGCCAACTCCTAAAAATGTGCGGAAAACTGGGTACTTGTGAGAACCCATGTCGGGTACTAAAACATCGAACAATTAATTTATTGCCGCATTGTTTGTAGGCGAAATTCCCCCTTATCGGCTCGTAATGTCGACGGTTTAGTAGATAGCCGCGGATTAGCGCTTTAACTAATTCATGTGATGGTTCCAAACCTTATCTAGCTGATACCAAAACAATTCCGCGTATGCTTGAGGCGCATAAACCGCCTTGTAAGTAAAAGATGCGCCTTCGAAACCATTCAAATTACAAAAAAAGTGCTGGCAAGTTCAATTTTCTCCCTACTTTGGACCTCCCCGCAACCAGCTTTCCTTTGCACTGAAACGAAGAGAATTTCAGGAAGCGCAGCTACAAAAGTCCACGATTACACAATTGAGCTGCAATCTACACGCAATAATCGCCTGATAAGACCCACCTTTGAGCCAAATCCCCATAAAAACATTTATTCCGCTCTCGACACAATGGAACCACTAGTTTGGTGGGTTCTACTGTTCGGTCTTATCATACTAATCACCGCGTTGTCACTGCAGCTCTGCTTCAGCCTGCTGAGCGAGAAAATCAAAGCAAAACTCCACCTGGTCAACAGTGCCCGGAACCCGCCCGGAACCGACAGCAATTTCAAAAAACTCACCAGGTACCAGTTCGAAAAAACCGACGTCGAAGATCTGACCAGCATCGAAAAGAACCTGGCCGAGTTCCACCCTCGCATCACGTTTGTGAACGAGTTCGGGGCGACACCGTTTCGGAAAGAGAGCACATCATCAGGCAGTCCTCGATCGGTGAAAAAGCGCAAAGGTTCGCTATTGACGGACGTGCACGAAAGCATCGAGACAGAGTTTGGCAGTTTCTATAGCATTGAAGATATCATGGAGGATTTGAACAGTGAGAAGAAGGGTGGCGACTTGTTGCCCAGGCGCTTCAGTTTGGTCACTGAAGGTGAGAATTGATCGTC